AACTTCAAGAGTTTTACGGCTTTCCGTGCTACCTAAGTGTAAGGAAAGACCGCAGATTGCCATATGTTGCTTAGAATAATTAGGTAAATTAAAATGTCTAGCGACTGGTTTCGATGTGTCCTTGTCATTCCTCTCCACGTCGCGAAGGTGTTCTCGGAATCGGTCACCTAGTCTTCTGCTTGTTTCGCCGATGTAAATCTTTTTCCAATAAGTGTAAGTTATGCAATACATTACATTGGCAGAGGTGCACGTGAAGTGATCGGTGATCTTAATGGATCGTTTGGGTCCTGATATTTTCTCAGTGTTGTGAACGAAAGGACACGTTTTTCATCGTGCACGAGCGCATTTAAAAGTGCCTGGTTGGTCATTAGTCTGAAAAGAACTTCTGACCAAAAATTACCTATATTTTTGTCGCATTCGAATGAAATGGGCAGAGGCTGCGAAAAGATAGTGCTAGTAGTGTACCGCGTCTGGCTAGCGAGAACCGCAGGGTCTGGGTCCGAGTGTTGTAAATAAATTAAAAAATCGCTCGGTCAAACTGGGACCGAGTTGTGTAGTAGCCTTAGTGTAGTAGCCGAAGTATAGCCGAAGATGAGCCGAAATAGTTCCGAATGATAATCATCTGCCGATCACATTTACGTTACGTTATAAACCGTGAGAGGGTGATGACCTGACTGACGGTCACATGACTGATCATATATTCACACCTTCGGCTCATCTTTGTCATCATTCGGCTACTCCATTCGGATATCATTCAAAAGTATTTCAGCTCATCTTCGGCTATACTTCGGCTACTACACTAAGGCTACTACACAACTCGGTCCCACTTTGACCGAGCGATTTTTTAATTTATTTACAACACTCGGACCCATACCCTGCGGTTTTCGCTAGCCAGACGCGGTACACTACTAGTGCTTGTCTCTGGATCATTTTGAAGTAATTTAAAGTTTTTAAGAATGATGGATTTAACTGAGCGGTTGGGAAATAGACGCTGATGCGCGGGTAAAGATAGTGCCTGGTAGTCTTTTAAATCGCAATGCCTTTTTTCGCCTCCCAATCATTTCTTTGTTTTAATCTGATAGGTGCAAGTTACCATCCACTCATGCTTCAATGGTTTATAATCAGATGCGGAGAAACAAGAACCGAGCGGAATTCGTTGCCGCGTATGTTTAATTTCGATCAGCCAAAAAACTTGCCGTTACAAAAAGGTGTGTCCTGAGGTATTTACGTTCCGAGGCAGAAAACTCTAAGGTTTGTTATCAGATACAGACGGCAGAAAACCCTGTAACGGCTTTACAATGCAAATATTTGTTAAGCAGCTGAGGCGAAACAAGGCATAAGATTGGAAAAGAGTGGAATTTGGCTTGTGCAGGCTAAGAAAGATTCTGTTTGCAGCGTCGAAAGTTTACGAGTTTTGAGTGTGTGCAGTTTCTTTAGACTAGATATGCGAATATTATTTTTCGGAGTTGGATGGTTACAATACTTGTGGATCTCTCCGTGAGATAAGAGGGGCTTGACTTTTGAGATTAAAAGCAACCCTGCATTACCGCAAGAACAATAACTACAAGCTCACAACCATGTTTTATCTCTAGATTAAGTGCTTCAAGTATGAGTTAGTCATAAGTATTCTTTGACTATTTCACTCTTTACACATGCATCTCGCGTGGCCTTGCGGCCATGAAGTGGACAAATGAAAACGTCTCTTTGTACATCTCGTTATTAATTTCCGCTTTTCTGAACTTGCGTCAGGAAATGTGAGGTTCAAATGGTTTTTCTTGAACATTGACTACAGTTGATAACTTAAGAATAATCTGAGTTTAACTAGTTTTGCTGGCGACGTCCGTAAACCATTCATAACGTTCACATGACTAAACTGAGTTAAATCCCAAACCTGCATGACTCACAACTAAGAGTAAATCAAATTATTTTTCACTAAGGATTTTTTAACTCGAGATACTTCAACAAATTATATGCAAACTCTACAACATTGCTCCTTACCAAATTAATGAGCCCACCGCAGTTAAATGTTAGCTTGAGCATTCAAATTAATGACAATGGAAGGTCGAAATATAGACTGTGCCTTTGTCGTAAATACCGTAATTTGTTAAATGATCTTAATATATCGCCTATGGTTGTTTCTCACATCACCGTTATTTGCAACATTGTACTTTTTTTAAGTCGATGGTGGCTGGAGCGAGTGGAACTCATGGAGTATCTGTACCAAGCCGGTTGGTGGTATACAAACAAGGGAAAGAGAATGTACTAATCCAGAACCAGCAAATGGTGGGAAACACTGCAATCGGGCCAGAGCACTGCTGAGAGAATGTAGCAACACGTCCAGTTGTCATCAAGGTAACATACAAAAGTCTAATTTTGTGATTTCAGTGAAAGGAAAGTCTCTGACAAAAAAGAAAAAATTAATGAATACACGAATAGATATTAAAATAACAATGAGTTTAGGAAAAATTCTGAGTTTGAACTTTAATCACACACTATCATGAAGGCACGTATGTAAAAACAACAAATTACTTAAAGTAAGGATTTCATTAGAAGTCTCACATCCTTCATGAATGCATTCAAACTGTACCTGTACAAAATTCACAATGTACTTTTTGAAAGAAAGAGAAAAAAACTCGTTCCATGTATATAAATTGTCAAGTTACCGTTTTCTGATAGCTATAGATTATGCTCGTTTTAAAATCTCTTCTGCTCTTCTATTCAGTGTAGCAATTATTACAATGAACGTTATGAGGGTCCTACTTTGATTACAAAACTTTTTCGTAGTGTCTGTAATAGAATAAGAAAGAAGGTAAATTTTGAGCTCGGTAAAGAACGAAGTAGAGAATTTGGTTGTTCGTCTTGTCACAAGCGTGGCGTGGGACAAAGAACAAATTCTAACTCTCCATGAGGAATGAAAACTAAGACCTTCAAACTCCGCGCTCCTATGCCCTACCACTGAACCACAGAGACTCTGTGGTGACTAAGGCCCAACATGAAGTCCATGTATAACACGCGTCCTGCATACTGCTGGGATGTTTGTTATTAGCTTCATTATTATTGATGTTATTTCCATCATCAAAACTATTTAAAAAAAAAGAACAAACAAACGAACTAACTAGATTTATTCCTTTTTTTTTTAACTTTGAAAGCATTTCCACTGCGTTTTAAAACAGAAAAGAACCCATCTGTCGGTAGAATGGAAATCTACACGAACAATAGCTGGGAAAAGCTTTGTACCAGTGAATGGGATGAAGCTGATCTCAATTTAACCTGCATGGCCATGGGCTATTATAACAACGGTGTTTATGTTAATAACACACGGTATGCAGAAAGAGGCAACACCTCCAAGACATCCATCTGCCACAACTGCACCATTCCAACTACATGTGAAAAAAACCTGGCAAAGAAACAGCAATTTTGCAAAGGTAAAAGTGAATTGTACTCATTTTCCGGATTTTTTACCACGATAACTTCAAGTACATTGACAGAAAGATAAAATTGCCTGAGAGAAATTATTTTTAGTCCTCGAGGTTTGCTCAGATACAAGAAAGGTATCAAAAATTAAAAATTCTGCCACAGCTGGCAGTAATGTCGCAATCTGATTGGCCAATGTGTTGCGGACTCACTCGACTGCGCCTCGTGAGTCCTCAAACTATTGTCGCTTAGTTGATTTTAGCTGTTTTCTACAACTCTAGTTACATGCTTAAAAGATAACTACTTAATATAGCCGTCGAAATAAGAACCTGCGCTATCATGCATTTAGGGCTCATAAACGTCATAGTTTCAAAAGAATATTCAAATTGATACTTTTAAATCCTTAATTTCAGCTCCCCTAAAAATTTTTTCCCATTTTTTCTCTTTTACATGCAATAAGAAAATCTCCACATTTCCAATTGACACCTGACAGAACGTCTCTTCCTTCAGAGGTTATAGTCTATGATATGAATTTCCCGATTGCACTCTCAAAGTTTAGCGTTTTAAAGTTATGAGAACATGCTTTCAAAAGTTCTAAAATACTGCAAATATAAATTAGATCTTGTTTGCTTTCAAGTTAGTATAATGATGAAACTTGCGAGGTAAATCACACGAATGCTTTAATTGGAAAAGAAGATCGTCGACCACATCGCTTCAAGGAGACTAACATTATGCAACGTAAACGTCTTGATCCACATTGGAAAACAAATGACACCTGTAACATCGAAACTATTATTTTCCGAACCAATGAAAATTGTAGGCTGACGGAAAATATAAAAAAAATATGCCAAGAATGTTGAAGAACACAATCACTAAATTGGCACTAACTGAATAAATCACTTCGTGATTTATGGCCATTCGTAATGTTTCAGAAATTTATCATTGCTATAACTAGCGAATTTTATCCTAGTGTATTTAATGTTTTATAATTTTCTAAGTTCCTGTTCGCTTGAATGGTGCAAATGTGGAGTATGGAGGAAGAGTGGAAGTATTTTACAAAGGTAAATGGGGAAAGATCTGCAGGAATGGATGGGATTTTGACGATGTCAAAGTCATTTGTCGTCAACTTGGCTTTAAGGAGGCTTTGGCGGAATTCATTGGTTCAGACGTGAAGGATAAGGGAATTCCTACTGTAATGTCAGATGTCTCTTGCAAAGGAGATGAGCCAGAACTTGCATTTTGTGCTCGTACTGATGGAAAGGTTAATATCCCACCCCAATGTTTATCAGATGGCAAGGACTCTCAGGCGTTGTGTCAACCAAGTAAGTAGTTCATTATAAAGCCCGAAAGGTGATTTTCTTCCCTTGTGTTGTCTCTCTTCCACAGTTAGACATTTTAGGGTAAAGGAAAATCAGCTAAAAACTCGGAGCTATAGATGACTACTAGCTCTTTTCTGAAGAGTGCCTGTTGGAGTACGGCTTGCGAAAAAGCATATTTTTTTTTTCGCATATTTTACACTTAAGATAAAGATATGACTCGAACTGGGGATGAAATGACTTGGTTTGGGGTGACATGACTACGGCTATTGGTGATTTTACTAAGTTGGTCTGAGGTAATATGACTCAAGTGAATTAAGCTAGGGCTCAAGTGACTTTTATGGGGGTTTCAATGGCTCTTTATCGGATTTCATGACTCGGTGAAGGGTTACCTAGGTCTTTCAGGGTCGTCACGTCTTTTCAAAATTTGGATGTAACATAAATTGACAACGGTTGACTTGACTTTTTGTGGAGTAATGTAACTTAGCCTAATATAATGTACGAAAAATCTACAGATTTGCCAATTTAAGGATTGGTATAGGCAAATATATCTTTCCTTTCTCTACCTGTGATGGTATTCAAAATGAATTAATTTTTTTGTAACATCCTCTAACTGAACCATTTCTTGCAGAGAACAAAAAAGTGTTGGACAAAAAAGAACTCTATTTTGAAATTGGTAGCAATGAAAAGCTTCAATGCTCAATACATAATGAAAGCAGATATACAGGATGGGCCATTAATGGTCAAACAGTGAACTCTACTTATCAAAGATTCAGGACTAAAGAAACTGGTGAACTGTTTATTGACAAGGTGCTGTTGTCTGATGGAGGATTATACGAATGCTACAGATTGGAATATGTTCAATATTACGTTGTCTACGTTAATGGTAAGGAACACATCTTTTCAGCTTACAGAAATACAGGCACAGGCTAAAAATACAGGATAATGAAGGGTAAGATTACCATACTACTGAGCTTTTAATAGTACTGCTATGATATTGGGGGTTCTTATCACTTCTTTCGACAGCAAAATTTACTAAGAACACGCTAGACGAACAAACCTTGATTGCGGACACATCTGGTTTATTAAGCTGCGGTGCCGAGGGAGTACCGAGCCCACAGATATCTTGGAGTAAAAAAGGACGAAACTCTTTAGACCACATGCGATTTTATCAAGTATCCAACGGCAGCCTATTTATTAGATCCGTAAAGTATGAAGACAATGGGATATTCATTTGTACAATGAAACAAACTAAAGGACCAAAGAGGATCACAAGCAATGATAAAACCATACTTTTGACAGTTATGGGTGAGTAACCAATGGGGGAAATATATAGCCATGTGAGGTGAAACCATATCATTATTACATTTGTTGACTTAAGTTCTTTTAAAAAAGGTATCGTGTTAAATAGCTATCGCTTTTTTTTCAAAACTCTCTACGTAGAGGTTAGCATTAACTGCAGAAACCGGACTTCCCATCACTGCGCCTTCTGTCTGCTTGTAAATTTGTCCGTTATAATGGAAGACTACCGTCAATAGATCTTAATACGAAGTTCAAGGGGTCTGCAATATGAAAAACCAAACAAAGAAAACTATTTTTCTAGTCAAGTGCTAATATTATCAGTTAAAATTCTAGTGCTTACGGCCAGGTTGTTGATATCTCACCCAATTGATCTCTATTTTGCTCTTTAAAAGTCTATCCAAAAGAGGACCAGGCAGGCGTGACACATGCCATCTCACCGATTTCTCTCAAACTTTCACAGACGGTTAAGGTCATAAAGCTATTCAAGAGTCCAAAGTAGTTTGAGCTATCGGTTAATCCCTGGGGTACAAGGGCCTTCACATCAAATCTCAGGGATAAAAGCCCTAAAATTGTACTTTCAAAAAAGATCTCCCACACTGATAGAATGCGGTGGATTTTAATCTAACTTCCTCCAACAATTCTTTTAACCTTAGGTAATACAAGGTTCGAAGCTGGATTCATTTGAAATTAATCTCGCCAATCGAGAGCATCTCATAATTAACCATGTCACGTGACAAATTTAAGAGACTGAAAATAAGGCTTTTTTCATTGCAAATATCTCCAATGGGCAACGTTACATGTCGATCAACATGTGATCACAGTAAAACCCAATCACAGTGCTATGTTTCTGACGAAAAAAGATTTTGGCCTCTGTGAAATATTTATATGGGATTTGCTTTAACACCAGTTTCTTCTCCCTGGAATAATGTTTCCTGCAAATTAGAGCGAACACGTTCGGAAAATCGGATTGACTTCTTTGATTTCTCCATTGCCCAACCCTCCTCGAGTGATGGACTGTCATCAGCGGCTGATACTGATGGGGATTCTGTCACTGGCGGTGCACCACCAACTTCACCTTGCCCATAGTCTCCTGTAATAGTTTTACAGGTCTCTGCCCACTTTGCTACGATGCTGTCATAGCCGTATTTTCTTTCTTATAATTTAACTTGATTAGGTGGCGTCCAAAATCAAGATGTTTCTCTAGACCTTTAAATTCCTTGTAGACTTTGACACAGTTGTTTAGGGCAGGAATAGGAGACGACCAATCGTTTTGCTGACTCAGCCTCGTCTGATTGAATTATTTGCACCTTCGTTGGCGCTTATGGTCCAAGAACTTGGGCTTCCATTGCTCCTGCACGTAACGTGCCGACTTCTTGTAACGGTTGGCTAAATGGCTGAAGTTCTTTGATACCTGTAGGACCTTTAAGAACAACTCCTCCACATTTCCACAAGACTTTATTCTTGATGATCTCCGTTCAAATTCAAGACTTTCCGCCGGAGCTTCCAACAGATTTGCAACTGAACTTTCCTTCTTTCATTGAGTTATGTTCGAGTCTACCAGAACATGTGCAAAGTAAAAATCCTAGGTCAAATGTCAATCAAGTCATCGCGTTCCCATTGGATAACTAGACAACAGTACAAATCACGTGCGACTGAGTAACGAAATCTATATAGGTAACGAAATCGATAGTAACGTAATATATTTTCAAAACATACTTCTGAAGCTGTGCCAGCGAAAAAAGCCTTCCGGTGCCCACATTGTATGCCTTCCAAGCTCTCAGTCCAGCTGAATCGAACAAGAAATTGTTCAGTGGTCGAATTCCAGTCATGCTATGTTTCGTCATACTTTGAAAAGAATCTTGGATTTCTACTACAGTGGCATAAAAGCCCTTTACCCCACCATACGATTCAATTGCAATCTTCATGTCATTGGCGGTGTTTATGTCATTTCCCTCGTTTATAAATCGCCGCTTATGACTTTTACGAGTGGCTATAGGCGGTCACAGACATCTTTGCCGGCTTGGGGATTGCTGAGGTCATAGCGCAAGATTCTGATTCCGACGTGCTCACCAAGACTTGCCAATAACAAAATAAGATGCGCATTGTGGTAGCACTCAGCGTTATCGGATCGTAAGAAAGCTTCTCTGAGGCTAGAATAACTAGTCTTTAAAGCCATAAGCGTACTTTCCAGAATTGATGCCTCTGCAAACCAGTTTTGGGAGCATTTTTCGAAAGGGTGGATATAGCTTCTTGCCGAGAGAAAAAACGGGATTGTATTACCCAATTAGTATTGTCACCGTTAGGCTTACAGCCAATGTTGAGGTAAAGCTCTATATTGTGAAACACCGACTCAATAGGGAATTTGTTTAAAGCATGTAATTGCATTCTCGGTTTACCAACATTTTTACTTCCAGAAATTGCGTAAAATGTGTAAATCAACTTTTTTCTGGCCAATGTCTTCTTCTCAGATATAACACTTGCAGATGTCTTGGTTGCGGCATCACTTTCACTTTATTGCGTTGATCTAAGTTAGTCTGATGACTACTAGGTTAGTTTATCACACCTTCTGTTATGCTGGCGCGATGAACACTAATCATAAATAACTTGTAGGTTTTCTTTTTTCTAGACGTCGACCTCAGTTACATTACACCCAGACGCAACTGGGTGCAAGGTTTCATTCTATCTAAAGGCAACTCTTTACGACTGTAAACCTCACTGAAAATATCGTGACGTAGCTCCCTTAAGACCGAAAAAGCAAGTTCGTATAGCCAACGCAGAGCTTTAACCTGTTTATAGTCGAACGTTATAAACTACCTTTTACCTTGTGTGCAAAGTAAATGGTCAAATTTTTTTTTCAGTTTCCCGTTGAAGCTTTTCTGTCACAAGAAGTGAGCAGTTATTGTCATATTGACCTGCGAAATAAACTATTCACAAATTCTGTTAATTCCCTATCCAGTTTAAGTAATTTCATCTATTAACTATAAATTATCTGGCAGAAGAACAAGGAATGCCACTGGTGTCTATCTGGTTCGAATTTTTCAAGAGACATGGTTCCAAACAGGAAAATTAAAACAAAATCATACCTGCACCGACGGGAACAAGAACTCTCCATTTCTCTATAATCTTTTTACACATCTGTAGGCTTGCTCCTCTTTCTCGTTTTCGTCGCTTTTTTCCACGTAGAGGATGGTAACATTTTAGACTTGGTCTCCACCAGGTTCCTAGCGGAGCGTGATGCTTCGGTCACACTGTTATATCGTCCCCCATCTCATCAAAGAATCCCACTGTAGCTAAAGTGAGGTCTTTTTCCGACCTAACAAATGTTTGGGGAAACTTCAGTTGTCGCAAATGAGATTTCATATCCTTCCCACAGGATAACAAAGGAAATAGTTCATTATTCTTCTTTTGAAATCTCACTGAAAAATCACAAGTGCTATTGGGATGCGAAGAGAACGAACAAGACAATTGGGCAGCCATGGCTTTGGATTGCCGCTACAAAAAATCGACCAAGTAACAAGAAAAAACAACGGCAAGACTTCACTGACAAGAAAAGACTACGTGTTTTTTTTGTCATCTTTGTTTACTTTTCATGGCGACGGCGTTTACATTAGCCTGATT